CGGATTCCAGCAACTTTATAGCGTTCAGGACTTCGGCTTTCGTCGGAGGGCCTGTGTTCACTTGTAGTTCTACCGTTGCTGGTGGTATTTCTGGACGAGTTTCAGGTGTTGGTGGTAGTCAGCCCATCGTTTCCTGTGTTTCTTCTCTTTGGTAACTAAGCTTCCTCCACTATCTTTCATTATTTTCATCTGCGTTGAACTCTTCTCGGATAGTAACCTGGTTATTTGATGCAATGTTGTCAGGTCTCTCCTACCTGCAGCCTGTTCTGCTTCACTTGTAAGTGTGTTGTAGAAGTGCCTTTTGTCTTTGCGCGCACTCTTCTTCACTTCTTTGTCAAACGTTTCATACGTTGTACTCAGTTCCTCTTCTCGTTGTTCATCCTTAATGCGGTTAGGCAGGTTTCTTTCCGCATAGCTTTCAAAGAGTTTCAGTGTTCATCCACACAGGTTGCTTCACGGAAGTTGCTCGATATCTCCCACTTTGTCTTGATGGCTGGCTGACGTGAAGATGTCCTTTGTAGTTGCGTCCTTCAGTTCAGTTTCTGTTCAGGGTGCTGAACTTGAAGTGTGGTCTGTCACCAACTTCTTTCAAGGTTTTCAACTAGGTTCTGAAGGGTTCTTGCACTAGATAGTGAGTGGTGTGAACCTACATCTGCTCCTCTTCTTCATCTCATCTTGTGTCCAGTAGGCTGCATCTCCACTTTCTTCACATTCAAATGAAGTCTATCTGATTTTCAGTGTATCCTGGTGTCTGGTAAAATCCATGTCACTTCCTTGTGAATATCTTTGTGTTTGTACACACTGCCTCACCTCCAATCACCAAATCGTTGAATGAGCAGAATTCTGCAAACAGTTCTCCATTCTCATTCATCATTTCATCGAGTACTTCTCGACCCATGATCAGTTCTCTTCCTGTGTTATCCGCTCCCAGTTTGGCATTCATATCACGCAACCCATTAGAATTTTGATTTCTCCAACTGTGGTGGGGTCTTGTCCTGTAGTGATTGCAGTTGTCTGTAGAATTCCTTCTTCTTCTCTTGATCTGCTTGATTATTCGTAGGTGTGTAGCGTAGCATTGAATGATTGTGACTTTCCTTTCTTTTGAGACGAACCTTGCTGTCATGATCCAGGAGGAGACTGGTCATAGTAGTGTTAACGGCTGCCATATCAAAATGTAGGCTACCGAACTAAGGCGCTGAAGATTATATAATTCAGTGGTTATAAATGCTTGGTGAAATGCTCAATGCTGGTCACAATAACCCAAATGCATCTTTTTAATCACTTTTGAGATGTCAGACACTATATTAAACTTCTCTAATTGATCGATTATCTCTTCATACTCTTGTCGAATTTAATGCCATTTATGTTCACGTTTTCTGTGTATGCTACTGAGAATTTTTTTAGCTTGAACAGATGCATTTCTTTGTAAGGCGCTGTTTGGATTTATTTGTTTCTGTATCTGTCACTTAATTCAGAAAACGTCAATTAGTATATAAATGAGGAATGAAAGAAGCTATTAAAAAAATCCATTTTACTGACTAAGCTTCAAGAAGGTCACTAAAAATTGCAGATGAAAGCATGAACTAGTTAGTTTGCTCAGTCGTATGAAATGTAAAATGAAAATCAGGAAGAAAAATACAATTTTTATCTAATGTTTGAAAAGTAAGCTCCGTCATTAGGCTAGTAGTGGTAACATTTTTGAAAACTCTGCTTAATGCAAACTTCATACTGGATGATGAGTGACTACTTTAGATGTCTTTCAAATCTACAGTCTTGGTCACCTTTCATGGCATTGATATCATGGCCTTGTTTATGTGACTACGAGACACTAAAAGCTGTAGCAACCATCTCCCCTTAACATGTTTTTGGCGTTATCGATTCACAGAAGTGCAGTTTTGCAGCTGATTACTGATTCTATCCAATTTTCTTCGAATAGACGCACCTTTAGCAGTAATCTTAACCTTCATTGTCATTTTAGTATTCCTTTCATACTGTGCTGCACCAGACAGATATATGCAATAGATTATTCATGACGTCAAATTTGTTGGAATAAATTCACAAGTTTGTAAGTGAACTGCTTGTATTGTTTAGTGATCTTTTTCTACCTCATTATAGTGAGGTAGGTAGTTTCACTAATTAGTCAAAAACAAGTAGTTTGTGTTTTCGTTTATAATCATCTTTTATCGACATTCATGATCAAACTGTTTAGCGTCTCTGTGTAGTACACACTTAGCAAATACATGTTATATCATCATTAAATGACTCTCTGCTAATCAGGAATTTGGAGCAGAATGTCTTTCAAGTTCTTATAATAAATCCTTTTTGGTCAGTATGAAATCGATTTCTCTAAAGCAAATAAAACTCTTACTCTGTAGCGTGATCTCCACTTGATATTAGCTTTCAAATATGAATTTCACAATAGACAAATACGCAAAAATGAAACAGAACTGCGCATTTAATTCGGAGAAATCAACTAGACGTGATGGGTGATTAGGTCACTCACCAATTGTAAGCTTAAGACAACAGAATATATATGGTATAAGCATAGCCTTTTCGGTCAAAATTAGACATTTATCACAGAAGTACCAGCTACGTGCTTTATAGACATACACAAAAATATTATATCATATATATATACGTTTTAAAAGCTTAACCTTGATAAACTTCTGCACAAAGTATTTACAATTAGCTACGTAATGACAGTTTTTAATTAGCTTTTTTTCATCTGGTTAAAGGAGATCTAACCTTCCGATTTCAGCACAGAAACTGCTGTTAAGAATTAAGTGTTTACATTCATTACCGGCTTAAAAGCTAAGGTATACAATAATAAGCTGCCGTCTAAGTGCACGTAAGATATATTTATTTCAGATGTGATAAAATAAAGCAGTTATGGTAATTATCTGTCAAAACTATCAAGTTTTCTTCAAGTAGACTAACTTAGCAAGTTTTATTTTCTAAAATATGCACCATAAAATCACTTCCAACACTCACACCTACTGAACGCTTCTTTCATGGTGACTGCATTTTTGATCCAATTGTTTGGATTTTCAGTTTCCTAGATAAATACTACGATGATCTTCCAGTTGAATTGACAGGATTCGGTGGCACTGGTTTCTTTAGATTGGTTTCAGCTGGAGGCATGCCTTTATTTATAGTAAGTGCTGGTTTTTACCTCAGAACATACATAAAACTGTTTTGTTCACAAAAAGCTATACAACGTAGGAAACCAATAGCGTAAGAAAAGGAATATTTATCAATGTAATGACGATTCAGAAGGGAGTGGGAGATTACAGTATGGGACATTTGCGGTAGGAAAGTTCATAAACAACGTGTCGACGTTACTGTGGGCCAACGTAGATGAAGTGGCTGTATGTGTTTCTCTAATATCTTAGCAAATGGACTAAGTAGATCAGTTGGAGGGACATTTACCGCAACGAAATGTTTTTTAAGCTTCTCGACCAAACCATTACTGACATAGAGAACCAATGATAGATTACCAACGATAGTCACTTCAGTGTTCATTTATGAGATCAACAGTTCCTATTGAGCCAGTCAAATAGTCCGCACTCAAAGGCCCCTAACACGTGCTCTCATGTACATGTACTTGCTTGGTTATGGAAAGAAATCACACAAAGGCACCAACAATGCAGTCCTCTCATATCTACTGAACATTAGATCCAAGGTGTATCACACTTTTTGTGTGATACACAGTGTCTCTCGCAATCTCCCCATAGGTGCACGACTACACAGCTTATCCATGGCCGAAGCTATATGTATCAAGGCCAGAAAACCTGATCTGTAATTTCAAAAGAAATATGTACATCACATCATCTACATCGGCCCACAGTGAGGTCGACACGTTGTTTATGAACTTTCCTACCACAAATATCCATACTATAATCTCCCACTCCCTTCTAAATCGTCACTACATTGATAAATATTCCTTTTCTTACGCTATTGGTTTTACACCCTTGTTTTTTCATACCACTACCGGTGGTCATTTTCAATCATGACGTAACACTTCACATTTGTAATTCCTTATTTCGTTATAGTATTCATATGATTTTCACCCTAATTGAATATAAGTCGTCTCTACATAAGTTTTATTTGACCCTTAGTAAACAAACACACACACATTCAAGCCCCAGCAAATGTTTACAAATGAATCACTATCTCTAGACTGTCTCCTCATTTCGTAATTGTTCTGTCAATATTGATTTCATTGCACATCTAATACACTGGACTGATCGCTATTCCATTTGATTTGATCTTCACTTACCCATAACACTGACCGTTTTAATATTGTAATAATTTTACATCATGCCTTATTTTGCCTGTTGTATTTCACTTATTCTCACAGATTTATAACTGTACAACCTAAAGAAGTGATTGAGAACAATTGTTCGCTCAAATGGTTCTTGTTATGAATAATCTGTAGTGATTTTTAAATTATATAATACTGTGTTAATTCCCTACAAGTTATATATGGAATAGAGAGGTCTCCTGGCTATTTCAGATTTCACAGGAACACTGTTGTTTTATTGAATTATAATTGCGTGACAAAATGGTCACATCCTCATAATAAGACCACGTTATTTTGGGCTCGGTCTTCCATGGGTTACTGGGTACACCCTGTCAAAGGGTCCCTAACTTGGACCGAGCAACTGTCCAGAGATTACAGGGTCTTAGTGCTTCTCATGCTGACACCTATCCATGACGATATTTACTTTAATATCAGTCAATCATCAAAAGCGCTTGATTAAGTCTCTGAATGTTGGACGCCCTAGTTGGTAACAACATTCTTGAGTGAAATAAAATAAGTTAGAACGATCAAAGAAGTTTATTCAGAAGATCGAACTGAAATCCCAACCTGACTGACTACTCAACAGTTATCAACATTATTTATCAAAACAATAATTAATTAATAATTAATAAAATAACATTTCGGTTCATAGATCAGTTACAATGAAAAGAAAAAGTAAACAGGTTACTTCACATACTTGATTTTTCTAATCCTCTCTTAAAGAAATCTAATGGAGTTTTGAGCAAATGGATATCTGGAACTTTGAGTTTTCTAACTGATGCCCTCAGTCCTGTCTAAAATGTATAACAAAAAGACAGATAATTACTCACAAATGAATGCATATAAATATAGTTCATCTGCTTTTCATATGTAAAGATGTACTTGAATTTTTGTTGTGTCTGGTTATCAAATGAAAAGAGAACTGTTTAATTATTAAGTAGTTATTTTCGGAAAATATTCTTATATTCTGTTACCAAGCTGCGCATACAGAAGTTAAGACTGAAGGAATTCATATTGTATAGTGAACAAACCAACTTTATTAGACACTCCAACCACAAGAAATTGGTTGTTTCACCACGAAAAAGTGCCATGAAATGCAGCGGCCTAGTTAAAATCATCCATACTTCATTATTTTCATTTGGATGAGGTTTCGTTGCATCATTAAGCAAACTGAACATTACTGAATATAGATCGCGAAAGGCTCATCAAGAAGATCAAAATACTTAGACTAAGATGCAACTGTTGAGAACAAGTGTAGTCAATCATTGCCATCACAAAGTATTTCTGTTGGTACTTTTAAACGGCAATCGGCTTAATGTTCTAGTAAAAGAATATATTACTGAAATAAATTATTTTTGGAAGAATAAGGGATAAATTCTGATGCGGTTTAACTTCCAAAGAAAATCTGAAGGATACTTCGAGTTCTCATAATATTCTGCAGAGATGTTAGTTGGAGTTTTTCATATGTTTAAATAAATAACTTAGTTATATGATGTTGTGACCCGTAAATAGTGTAAGAAATGATAATATCAAGAATGAAAGGAATAGCAGTCAGTGATGGTGTATTGTAAAGGATTTCTGATTGCACTGATGTATATTGTCCAGCAGTAAAACCCAGGACGCGAGTTTCGTCATATGGCAAACTCGTCAGCCGGACGTGCATGCCTCCTAGTGAGTTATTCCTTTCCCTCCCAAAAGACTGGAACTCAAGGCAACCAATGACAGAAGCGCAATCTACTTCAACTTCTTAGTCAAAATAAAAGTAGACGTAAATTCAAAAAGTTTTTTTTTATTTTGCACCCAAGATTCGCCGGCTGATGTCAATAGACATTGCTATTTTCATTCAAATGAAGTTACGACAATGAAAATATCAATGATAAATTTTATAGTTAATGTTTCCGGTTAATAGCGTTCAAGTAATACTGTTCTTTTCACACTCTAAATAAATTAAAAAGGTCTTAATACGAGAGTAAAACTTGAGCACTCTAGTCGATTGTAATTCCATTTTAGTCTGTTTATTAGAAATATCATACAGTGAAACAGAATCATTTACTGGATAACATTGAGGACACAATTTATTGTCCATATTCATATCACGTAACTCCACAACTTCGAGACATACTCTATTTATTCCTAATTTTCTCTCCTTCTCTGTGATGATAAGGCTAGTAGAATTTTCCATGTATCCGGGACAGGTGCAGAATCATTTCGATTGCATGTGTTTGGTGTTGATTCGATAAACACAGATTCGGTTATCAATCTCTCCCTCCCTCCACCGAATTAATTTAGTTTTCAACACTGTCGCTCTATCCCACCCTAATGTATGATTGTGTGTCATCGTACGCAAAGCTTTTCTCTAAATTTCTCATCTTATTAGGATCTCATTGCATAAGGTGTATTTTTACTATTATTATTATTAGGATCTACTAATCTTGATTTAGCTAAATCACTGTGTGATATTTCTAATAAACAGACTAAAACGGAATTAAAATGTCATGTTGCATTCATTTTTCTATGTGTGAATACCTTTGGTATCTACTAGATTGGATTTCACTGTAATTTTTTTTTATAGTGAATGTCTATGGAAATTAGTTGGTTTGTTGGGTATAAGCATGTGTGCGCATGTGTTTTTGTGCCTGTTCCAGATATTGACGGTCCAACCCGTTAAGATCTAAAAGGCTAGTAACGAAAAGCAATAATCCTTGTTGAATGTTCACACAGTTTAGGGAAGTTATATCGATATAGGTTTGCCTTTGCTTATCAGTTACTCCCAGTAAAATATCTTATTAGTTCTTAACTCTTCTGTTAGCGTTAGGCACAACTGATTTGAATTGAAAGTTTCTTCAATAGACTTCAGATTCGTCAAACTTAAGCAGCTTCTCGATTATGAGGTTTGAACATGTATACCGTTTACTTTTAAAGTGAAATTCGGATAAAGTCTATGCTTTTATAGAAAGTGATATCATTATTTTAAAAGTTTTCCATAATAACTAGAACCACATAACGTAGCTCTTTTGTTTATTACAATTTAATTAGAATGTTGATTTTCAGCACTGTTACTCGTGCCGGAAGGCTAATAGTTCATCAACATATCAACAAACTAACATTTTAGTACGTAAGAGTGAGTGAGGTATTTGACGATTTTTAACATAAGTAGGAGGTTTCACCGTAGTTTATATTTTAAAATCACATCAACTAAGAAGAAATTAAAATCCAGAAGGTATTGATGAAAGTTGCTTCTTACCCATCAGTGGACACCCAAGAATTTAAGATCCACTCCAGGATCAAGATCTCTCACGATCAGTGTATCACGACTTATTTATTCACTTGGACTGCAGTATTTCTTGTTTTCTCGCTTTTTTCAATTCGATGTATATAGCCACCACTGATAACCATTGTCTGCATAAATCTGTTCCTACTCCTGATTTTATAGATTTAGCACATTAGTTCCATATTAGATTGTTTATTTGATATAGCAAACGATGACAGTATTATTTACTGGATGACGTTTCCAGCAGAATTTATTGCTCATATTCATATCAAAGACTTTCAGTCTTCCTTTATATATATACATCATCCAGTAAATCATACTGTCACCGTTTGAAATATCAAATAAACAATCTAATATTGAATTATACTCTACTACAGTACCCAAGTTTTTCTCTTACATAAATAGCACTTCAGTTCTTTTCATTAAAACTTAAAGAACCCATCTTAATATCATATATTTATGAGCTGTGAATAGGTGTTTCTGTAGAACGGTTTTTGGGCAACTGGTCGGTTTCGATTCAGCTTTCATCATGCATCAAGCAAAAGTTTAACTGCTCAGGGTACATAGTGGCAAACCGCATTACTGATGAACAATGACTAGATACTCCGAATGTGCTTTAAATCTACCCCTGAGCATACAGTTAACACCTAAGCAGTTCGACAATTAGGTTTTAAGCTTCTTTAAGGGCATCAGTGGATATGTGGAAGCCTATGTCTATATACTGTCATTGGAAATGGGGTTAGACTGTTCATTAGACTTACCTTTCGGACGGCATTCATTAATACTTTATGGACAACAACAATCATTAAGTACTTATGTGAACTATCTTAGTATGGATTTTACATGCTGATTTCCGCTCAACGTTTCCAAATTTTATGTAAAGATAAAGTCATCAAAAAAGTAAGTAGAAATCAATTATGTCGTAAATCCGTACATATCAATAAAAAGGGATTGTTCATTACCTTTTCATCAATAACTACTGATTGGCAGTCAGTGAACTTAATATGATTCAATTTCTTCTTCTCCAGTACCGAGAAGTAAAAATATTCATCACGATCATCAGGAGTATGGCAGAGAAAATAGAGTATACTGATAAAATGTAATCATCTGTCCATTCCATTTTGTTATGGCTAGATCTATATGATGAAGTAAAAAAAGTTAACTGTGACATATACTAGTTTGCAAGTTTCAGATATCTCAGAAAAAAGTTGCGACCAATAAAGACGGGATATTGCGTTCGATTTTTGAATGGAAAGCCGTAGATTTCAAAATGTAACCTCCTCATTCTTAAGACATAATTCAACTTCTAAAGTCAGCAATCTTGTTGTAAGCTACAGTGATTTTATTCCCTAGCATTAACTAGATGAGAATTTCAGGATGCTATTCAACACCTAACTTTCTGTTGATCACGCTGAACACAGTGAAGCTGCATGTGTATTTAACATTTTTAAACGACACAAATAAATAAATGTAATACACTGAGAGATTTCAAACAGTCATTTTTCACAATATCACACAAAGAGTAAGTTAATAGAAAAAGAATGATAACGAAGTTTGAGAGCAGTGACGATGAGAAAGTAGGCGCTAAAGTAATGTTCAAAGAGTGAAATGAAGACGTTCTACTGAAGCCCTATGTACCACTAGGAACCCAAGGGACAAATTATGATAATAATAATGACATGTTCATCATATCGAAAATTGCTAGGAAGAAATATATTTTCTTGACTCTAACAAATAGTAGATGCCAATAATCTCAAAAAACTAAAATAGATAGCTTACACCTTCTTGCATAGCACTGACCAATAGGTAATAACTGATGAATTGTTTTTTTTCTCTTGTTCCGACTATCTGAAATACTTCTTATACTCTGCTAAGAGGAACTGTGATCTGCAAGGCTAAAGAAACAATTCTGACATTCTCTGAAACCAAGAAAATAAAAACAGTAATCGTTGGTAAAGACAGAAATTTTTGTCCCCTGCTTCTGAGGAAGTCCCGGCAATTTTGCTTAGCCTTCATTTAAATCTTCCATTCGCATAAAATTGTGGTTTAATATCTGCCTTTACACCAAAAACACACTGAAGTACCCTTTCACTTTCAGAAATACAGAATTGATAGTCAGCTAATAACTAAAGAGTTCATACAAGTATATATAACCGTTACGTCCCTTTAAAAATACCTAGTGCATTGAATGTTGTTGCATAACACCAAGCATCTTTAACAAGTATTAGATGAGGGGTGATCCATGAATCAAGCTCCCATTTGATGATTGCACTGTTTATCAGTGCTAAAAAAGCAGGATATTTTGACATGAATCAAAAACGGATAGCTTTCTGATGCTCACGATCCCAAGACATGATCAAAGATATACTACAAATTTTGGTACAAAAAAGTCAACCAATTAAGTAACTTTATCATATATTTTAAGGCTGAACATAAGCTAGAGTGTAAGTAAATTCAAACTATGTGTTGAAATACTTCCCAAAATCAATACGATAAATCATAATCAAAGCACGGTATTTGCTACACTTTAATAAAAATTTTACCTAGAACAGATAATTTAATGCAAATCAAATGTTTATCAGCCTTAGAAAAACTTATGCCTGTCAAAGTGTCCAGGGGTATCTCATCATGTGAGTCCAATGCCTTGAAGATACCATAATAGCAATAATTCTATTACATCTGAGTATTATTATTACTATTATATATATTATTTATCCCTCGGGTTCCTAGTGGAACAAAAGGGCTTCAGTAGCACATCTTTATTCCATTCTGTTCTCTGCAATCTTTTCAAACTGGCTCCACCACTGCCCACAAGCTCTCATTTCTTCCTCACACCATCTCCTCCATGTCGCCTTCGCCTCGGACGCCCAACTCGTCTTTTCCCATCTGGATTCCACTCGAGGGCCTGGCGCGTGATTCCCCCAAATGGTCTTCTCAGTACATGCCCAATCCAATCCATCTCCACTTTCTTCCGTATATTTGTTGAGCAATAGGTTCTTGGTTGGTTCGTCACCGGCCAGTCAGAGTTCCTTGTTGCTTATTCTTACTATTCTGACCATCTGAGCTTCAGTATCGGGAGTAGGCAGTTGTTGATGAATGTCTGTATTTTGTTGTAAATCCCTTTCGTAACGCGCCAAGTATCTGAACCATACAGAAGTACGGAATTGACATTAGTGTTGAAAATACGAGTAATGCACAATAAACTGCCTTCTAGCTTAAATATGCCACTGACTTTGGAGCAAATTTATTAGCCTCACGTAAAAGAAAACACATGATTCTCAGATAACATTTATTTCCACGCTTTTTTTGTCACGCTTAACATATGGTAAAATAAAACAAAAGGATTTCAAGCAAGGCTATCTTCAGTAAACTGAGGCTGATTAATCCATTTGTGCGCATTTAGCTTGCTTAGTATTGTCAATTTTTCAAACTTCATGACTGAAGAATAACTATTTTATCTTGCAAATGAATAGAATCCAACTGCTTTGATACTCATGTTTTCCAAAAGTTAAAAACAGAACTTTGAATTCAAAATATGTAAACTTCAACAGTAGTGAGATAAAATTACGGTAGTACTGGAAACTTTATACTTGCATTCCTTTCTATTGGAAATCAAGACATGATTTCCAATATGTCATGCAGAGAAAACTGATAGAAACAAGTCAACTTATGCCACTTTTAACACTTGTGAGGAATCTGAATTCTTGTCATGAGATGAGTACTGTATTTAGTAATCTGTCACTTTTCATCTTAAGACGGTAAAATATGGAAGTTGGAGGTAGGTGTAAAATGATTACAAGATTCTATTTGATAGGTTTGTCTGCAGCATTGTTGGTATGTGTGGAATATGTTACCAGTGTTAAGGTTCGGAGCGAAATACTTGAAAAAGAAGGCATACCAGAAGATTATGTTTGGAAGTATTATTGGCTGAAGTTGCTTGAATATGTGTTACACATAATGGGCAGCAACTAAAACTGATGAACCATAGAAGCTTATATTGAATACGTCTTAAAGAAGACTGAGGGTAACCGGACTAAGATAGGGCACTAATCCATGAAATGCCATCTTTTCTAAACCATTTACAAAATGGTATACTGCCTAGCTGAGGTCTTCTAGAAAACTGCTGAATCCCTTGGGGGTTCAAATAAAAATAGCTGACAAAAATGTATATACGCGCTTCTAATTAATTCTGAGATTTTGACATTATATTGACATTTTTATCGATGCTGGCTTATCTCATGCTTTGTCACCACCATCTTTTCTTATCTGCACTGTTTACTGAAGTGTGGCAACTTCAAATGATTTACTTTGGTTTAAAATTTCAAGCTGATTATTCTCTGCGTAAAATGAGCGAAGCGAAGGGTCATCATTATTAATCCTAATCCAGCCTTAGAAAAGTATCTCGCCTTATAACTTGAGATGAAACTGGTAAGAGCAACAACAACATAGCTGGTTGAACATCACTATGTCATCGTATTTCATTGCCTTCCTTTCAGCTTTGTGTAAGTTATTAAAGGTATACTGTGAAAAGTCGAATAAGTGCTACCATTACTTCCAGTTAATCTGTTTGCTTGTAATATGCAAGCTTACAACACAAAAATGGGCAAAATATGTGTAGAATAGTATACAAAATAAAATTTCTAATGTATTTTCTAACCAGTAGTTATTCTACTCCCCTGTAAATCATCAAGATTAACTTTTATAGGCTTGCATGCTAGCGAAGATTTTGCACTGAATTACGTTGTTTCTGTAACTTGACTTAAGTTTGCAAAGAAAATCAGGCGCATCAGAGTAATAACCAAGGAAACTGGAATTATGTAGTAGATAGATTTTGTTTTTTTACAGTTCTACTAGACATATGGTAATAAAAGATAGCTTTGTTTTTGTGAAAACTGTTGATGAGTGGAACAAATTGATATGATAAAATAGATTAATAATTTTTCCTTCTCTATGAGAAAGAGTAACCAAATGCATTCGGTTTTTTTATCTGTGGAAGCTATGCTAAACTCTGGAGAGTCATTTACATTCATTAGGAAAGGCTAATTTTACATGAAGAAGCAAACGCTTCAGAATTCTAATACATAGGCTACTTTTACTGATTTTCATATATAGTTACGCTAATCTGAAACAAGGATCTATATGACCATTTATCTGGTGATGTCATTTTTTGAAACTAATTAAGTGTAGGAATCCTAGGCTCTTCACCAGTTACTGCCGAAAGAAGTATACAGATTCAAATGCAGGTGAGCTCAAAGGTTTCCTTGATTTGGGCTTCTCAATAGAATTCCTAAAGTTGATAAGATGGTCTATTTTATGTATTGTGCCGTTATTATGTAAAAATTCATTTGAATTTCAAGATCCAAATAACGTGCCTATGTTCAAAATATTAGCTAACATACTACAGAGAATCAGGACAACAGAGACGGGATGATAAAGTTGCTATCAAGCCTCCTTGATCTGTTTTATCTCGTCAGAGTCTCTTACACTTGCACAGGTGATAGTACATGCGATCACCCTATGGTAAACAATAAACCGTAGTTATTATACAGTAATCATACCTGTTCCTTTAAACTGGTTGCTTGGAGGGACATCGCCGAATAGTTCGAAACTTATGGATAAATTTCAAACCTTTGGATATTTCAAAAGAGAAATCGACCACAGTTTTTTCTGAAAGAATCTGGTAAAAATTAATAGTTAGGGATGCTTAAGGCCTTACAGTTTTAAAGGAAAAGCATAAGCTTTTGCTCTCATACATGGACCCTTTGAAACTGACGCGACTAACCCTTAGACATATATGACTTTCATTTTGTCATCTATAAATTAGTGAAGTAGTTATCTAGTTCGAAATCACTTCGACTCATTCTAGCTATATATTAACCAGACTACTATAGAAACCTTCGTTGTTCACAAGATGATCGAACAGCTTCAACCCATAAATTTGTCAGTAGTCAAGTTATTTCGCCAACTTTCTTTTCTTTCCATTTATATATAAGTAACTGCCTCAGAAGTTTTAATTTCTGTTTAGATTTCATTTGCTAGGATTTGTTTTCAAGAAGGAGCTCCAAAAGAGAGCACTGAGGAACACTAGAAGTTAAGTCTGAATATAATCTCGACTAAATATGATGGAAATGCCCTATTAGCAGACCAGATCATGACTTTCAAAACAGGGTTAGACTTTTCGAATTCGAAACATACTGTTACCTACCTCCGGGGGTATGGTGATATTGTATTTTGAGAACATCTGCTTTCATCGGTCTGATAAAAAAGGTCCTGAATAAATGCAATATCTCCCAGGCATTATAAATATGGCATCATTAATATCGAACAATTGTGTGCCTACTAACGCTTAAGCGTGATTGCCATAGCATAGCTCTTAATTAGGTACACTTTAGTGTTTTGCAACTAGAGAACAGTTAAAAACTGCGGTGAAGCAAAGATACTTTTCCCTCTGAATAATACAAACTGCACACTACATTAGACATACCTCCTGCAAAGTGAGAGGAATGCTTCTAATTTAGGTGCCCAGTTAGTTAGCTACCAGTTACTCACGAAAACAAAATGTAGAGTCAAAAAATATCCAATTCGAAGATTAAAACGCTGACACAATTCTCATGTGTCCAATATGTTGATCAAAAAGGATTGAATTTCAGCTCCTTTTGTGAAATGAGTAATGATTTGGAAGCTTAACAGTGATTTACAGGCAACTGTAAGGTTTTCAAAATTGAATTACACACATATTAACGTTTCAGATTACGCTGATATAAATAAAAGTAGTGTAACGTCACCCACTTCTCCAAAATCAATAGACTAGGCTTCGACGGCATTCAACATTGATGCTGACTTTGATACTTTAACTGGACTCGCTAAGCTGAAGGCACCCGGTCAAGCATCCTCACCATTTGGCAGGCTGTCGTGTTACGTTGCGCTGCTCGTATTCGACTCTCTAACCAGTTGGTCGGAATGCATCGATATCTTGGCACAACCACCTAAATATACTACTCCATCCGACTATGCTATGATATTCTTCCTTGGTCTCGTATTCGCGGACATATACCAAGCTCGAATAATCAGTGATTAGCCTCTGAGTCTGTCAAGTTCGCACCAGGACAATTCCTTAAATAGAATTACCGCAAACACATACATAACATGATTTTTCTAGAATGTTAGGTGATATGTGGATCAACAAGCTTTCATATCTACGATGGATTAATTGAAAGCAACCAGAATCAGAATCATGAGGATGAGCTAATATGACAGGCCAAAAACCATATGAAGCATTAACTACCCATGTTCAGTTCCTATATGAACCAATCGATGGTTGTTAGTAGGACGAAGGCAGAATGTCTCTGAAGTCAAGTGTTTACGGTCTGTTATCTTCAACAGTAGGTACCTATTGTCACAGTTTTAACCATCTGATTTTGGTCCAGCGTGTAGTTGAACAAATGTGTTACTGCGCTCACCATCAAGGTGGGTTGCGTTGTTCATTCACAAATCTCTATCAGGAATTGAACCGCTTGGGGAAAACTAGAAGGAAGTATAGTATGAACAAGTCAGTGTACTGGAACGGATTTAAAATACTTTCCAGTTCGTCTGATGAGATGATAATGTATGTTGATTGACAAATATATTTAGTACTATGAGTAGCCTTGAGATTATGGGAACGCTTGGTGGTGAAGTAGACTGCACCCTCATGATTCTAATTGCTTTCAACTAATCCATCGTAGATTTGAAAGCCTGTTGATCCACATATAGCCCACCATTCTTACAAAATTATATATTATAAGCAGTGTGGGTTATTCTACTTTAATTTGGATCAGCGAAATCTGGAACGTTAATATGTACGTAATTCCATTCCGAAAACCCCACAATTCCCTGCAAATCATTGTTCACCTTTCAAATCATTACTCATATCACATAAAAAAAGCTGAAATCCAATCCTTTTCGATTAACATATTGGGCACGTGAGTTGCTGTTGACTAGACAACTTCAAACGACTCCATTCGGTAGACATTACGCTGCAGTGGTATTAAGTTTCACCTCACCAAATTGCATTCAGATGGAGAAACAACTGTGGATTTTGCATGACATGTGACACAGACACCGATTTATTATGTTCTGCTCACTACTATTCGAGGAGTAATAAAGTCTGGGTAAACTTCACTGAACCTTACTACCTTTGTGGTGGCAAGCAGTCATACCGAGGAATTCGCCCCATGTTGTGTTAAATTTGACATAAGTGGCATTATGTGCACTGGCCGTCGTTCGATTTCGTGCATTCGAGTAGAAAAACCTCAGCTAGTATTAACGGTCTTGAATGTGCCAGGGGTCGATGGCGAAAAGTGTTCCAAGTTTCTTTCTTAATCCGCTGGAAGTTTTCTTGCAAGACAACATTGCTCACCACCGCTCATCGAGGTGATATGGAAAACCACGTTAAGGCTCCTAATAAGAGGATTGAGCTGAATAAAAACTTCAGGCTGTCTGGCAAACAATGTGCCGCAGGTGAGTAGGTGGATCGATATAAATTGATCGCCATTCTTCATGTTGTAAAATAATAATACTGGAGGATGATTGAGAGTGAAGTGGAAGCTTTGGTTCCGGCAAGATCCAAACCATCCTTAGGTTCAGAAAACTGTGCTCATATTCTATCCGGCCAAGTATCGTTCAGTTTTTACAATGGGTTAGAAAGACCTATGTAAAGGGGGTATGCGATTGAGGATTATCGCACCTGAATACCCCAAGCGACGGGACAATATCAGTATCTGTTGCATGAAGACAGTCACTAGGAGGGACGATGGGAGCAGCTAAATCCTGTTAATGTGTTTCAGGCTCTACAGGAGCACATCCACCCTCGAAATGTGAAGATCGTGAATTATTTATGCGTTCTTCAAAAAATTTTAATGTTATTTTGATCCCTTCATGGGCAACAACAGTCCTCAGATGCGAAAGTAGATAAAGACACGAAGAAAATCATTACCACCTAGATCCCTAAGGGGTCGCTAAGTCCCCCGAAAACCCTCTCAACTGTTGATCGTATCCCAAAATAGTGCGATAATGGACGCGTTTGTACTTCCAAACTTCAGACCTGCATACGGAACCGAATCGATGTTGGATATATTTCTGAAAAGGTTCAGAAAATACCAAGGCCACTAAGGACATACACCGACCGCAAAGTTTTGCCTGTCTTGGCCTGACGGTAAAGTATCAGCTTTCTGTCCTTTCTTTCCGCTTTCAGGGAACCTGTCGGCCTTGTGAATGGGACTGAGCATCACTGTTGGCAAGTACACGCGCGTATCGGCCACTGACTATCTATAAGTAGCCCATAATAAAAGATAAGCCCCTATCACCAAGTTTAATGGCATTTTTTGCGGTGTATCACCTCGTGCAGAATAATTATCTTCCTCTTAGCACCAGTTGGGTTCGCAAAACCCCAAAACCAGCAGGTTCTTTCTTTCGTGGTAACTTGGACAGCTTCATATAGGCTTAATGAGGCTTATCCGTCCCTGTGGGGTAAGAAGGCGGTTTCAGCATTTTATCATGCCGTGGAATGGACAGTAAAAATGCCTGTTTGTCCCACTGTTGGTTCAAATGATTAAGTGAAGTGATATCCTTTGAAACACAGAACACTCGGAAGAGCTTAACAAGCCAATCGACAAATGATAATCATGCACTTCCTTCTTATCTAGGAAATCGGTTACGTGAATGTCTTTGATGCTGATCTCTGATGCATTGTCCAACGGATCTTCAGTTTAGACTGACAACCCAAATTTCCTAGATTCCATAGGAACTACTTCCTAAAATACTACCGATTACCCTTGTGAGCTCAACATGTTGATTATTTCGGCTGAACTGATGTCACGAATGATGTCATTCAGTAATGGACACCGAAAGTAGCAACAAAAGCGCCACCTAGGTCATGGAATATTCCATGGTTATGCAGCACAGTTGATGTGATTAACTCGTGTGCGTAATTTCATATTCCATCACCTAGACGTCTATTTCAGTGCCAGTCACTTTAATAATCCCGAGAGAATCAGCATGCATCAGCGAAACCGAATGATTTTAGCCAGGACCGAAATCCAGGTAGTCCTTACTCTTCGTGTTTTGGACCTCACAGAAACATAGATCCATCACATTAAAAACATTTTACCGCGCACAAGTGCACACTGAGAGGTGGCACCCTAAGCGGCCCGGATCATAACCAGATAACAGGTTTATTTCATGTGGAACAGTGAGGCCATATTCGGTGGATATACTAACTGAATATTACTTTCTTTTTGACGGATTCACATGACATGAAGTACTGAGGGAATTGTATTGCCGCTTGTGGCTACATCAGGAGAAAGTGACCGTCATCGCCTCATCACTTGTTGAGGGTTACACTGCAGCTAAAACCAGTGAAAAATGTTTGGCCATTCTTTTCATAAGCAGCTGCATATTTGGTCACCTGGAGATCGTTGGAGGATAAGTGAGTTCTTGGTGAGAGTGATTTGAAGTGAAATACAAGTTGATAAGTGTAAGGACTTTCAAGTTCTAAGGCCTCTTCCAGCAGTCCCCTATTATTCTTAGCGGGGTGACATTGTCTTTCTTTAGACAGAGCTCCTAGCGCAGATGCCAAGATGATGCCTAAAAACAGAAAGAAATACAGGGAAAGGCAGAAAAGCTTGTAATATGCAAGGGAACTTGGATTGCAGAGAATGTGCTATTTTGTTGGCCAGTTCAAACCATGTGTATCGTCAAGTTTGTGCACCTAAATATAACTTCATTATGTTTCCCTGTCGCAAGGTTTGCACATATTTGTAAATATGCGATGTCTAATGGCAACTTCTGATGGAAGTTTGAACGTGTTTCATGCAAACTTGTGCTTCCACCACTACAAACAGTTACTGGTCAGAAACACTGTGTAAATATTTGTCCTTGGGGCAAACATTTCTCGAGCTAAGTTAAACACACCGAAATGAATTAAAAATGTGCAAGTGAAAAAGGTAAAGGTCGCAGCTCGCAATACAGCTAGATGTAATTGCAAACACATCATTCCCTTGGACAAGCGCCTCTCGAAACTCCGGCGCAGACTTATCATCAAACAATACAGCTTGCTGTAGATCAATCTTCCACCTTCTATGCGATTATGCTGATCCTTCAGCCAGTCCCAACGCCCACCTAGTAAGATCCTCCTGTCCAATGAGGATCACCTATTTGTTGGCGACTGTTACATCCAGTGACAACATTGTCAGGTAAAATGAATTAGGTTGCTCAGCACAGTCATTATTATACCCTTAAAGTACTCTCATTTCTCTTACCTCCCCATTTGACTAACACGCAATTTGATCTCTATGTCCCGCTGAGGCGATCCCCGTGCTCAGCTGCCCCGAATAACTCCATGGGGGCTTATTTTCCATTCACACAACGCTTCGTTTCCCTTGAACCGTTTCTTTTGACAGCAGACCAATGGTTTTATGTTAAAAACTGGTGTTGAGGACGGAAGTTAAAAGCCAAACATAATCGGCGAGACTCTACGAGCGTGGGAATACCGTACTTTGTTCACCATAACTAGCGAATCTTACCCAAGTCAGAAAATTTAAGAATGTGGGGAACACAAAATTATGCATGCTAAATTCATCATGTGGTGAGTAGTCTACGCGTAATTCCCTACTATTATGTGCTCATTTGTAGCCACAGTGTCCCCCTTGCTGGTCATTAATCATAACTCTAGCTCCCCCTCGGTTTAAATTTATTTAGTCACCCTCCCCCCTTCCACAAAAAGCACTTAACCTGCCATTCCCTTCCTTTTCCTAAGGACCTTGCAGTCCTTATGCCATGCAGTAGTACAAGTCGCTTTTGCAAGGTTAATCAGACTAGACCACGGAACAGATGGAGACATAAAGTTCAGTATTGCCTCATGTGCGACACATGCCAAGAGATGATGTAGTCATAGTCCGGTGGGCTGGGAGTAGGCTAAAAGTATTTCTTAATCTTTAGCTTTATTAGGCATAATATGAAATGTTTTAAAAATAAGGTAGGAAGATGATAAAAATGCCATAACTGACCACCAAGTGTAAGGGCAGAGGGAGAAACCTCAATTGCCTTCGCCTGTACAGCAGTATTTGTGCAACCTACTACCCTCGCACCTGTGATGCTTTCCGAATGCAAAACAAAATAAAAACTGTGATAGAGGGATATAAATTAAAAAGGGATATAATGAGAACATGAATTCGCTCTGCCTGCCACCTCAGCCCGCACTGTGTCTCCGTGTTGCCTCTACAGCTTTGATACGGTAGCGTTCAACAGACAACACAATAGCCATTCTCTTCCGCATGACTGTGCAGAAGTATGTCTGGCACTACAGCTAAAATCGTAAGCTTTACCTAAATGTTTGCAGCCCCCTTTTCCTTGGGTGCATCAGTTTCCTGCATACAAGGGAGTGGCTAGCTCTATAACCCCCCTTCAACGCATCGGTATTTTGGCACAGCCACCTAAATATACTACTCCTTTTGACTGTGCTATGGTGTCCTTCCTTGGTCTCGTGTTCGTGGTTATATAGCAAGCCCGAATAATTAGTGATTGGTCTTCGCGCCTGTCAAGTTCGCACCAGGACAAGTCCTAAAGTCATATAATAGGGAAGTCAAACATTCATGGTGGGTCTCAGTCACGTAAAGGCAAATACTGAAAGCAAAATCAAGGCAGACAGTCCAGCAACCAAATAACAGTACATTGGCTGTGGTCAAAGACACAATATCCATAACGAGGGTGAAAAATCCAAATTAATGTCAATACTATCAAATAGGGTGATCAGGAGGGATTTTCAGATCGTTTTTCCGCTACACAGAGGAATTTAAGATCAACAAATTACATGTTGTTCCTCCCACTGTTTTCGAAGGAACCCATGTGTTCTGTACATATTATGGGCTGCCGCGCGATAGATGTAAGAGAGTTTTTTTCTCATAGCCTACCTACTAAAGCCATAGCTAGGCAAAGTTGAAACCCCTTTGGGATCTGCCATATTTCCGACGTCTAAATAGCCCCCTGACCTACATAGTGAAGTAAGTGTGACAAAGAGATTAATGAAGATAGCAGCTACGACCGATTTGTTGTAAGCGCACTTTCTGAGAGTGGTCCGTAATCTAAAAAATCATTCGCACAAAATTAAGGCCAGTGATGTAACGAACTCAATGGCTGTAAATGGGTGTCGGAGGGTCTTCTGCGAGGATGGGGTTCCGCTAAGCTTCATGAATACCCTTCTTACTCGGAAATTTTTAGGAGGCAACCCAGAGATGCTTTC